ATTCCTTATAATTTTTATTGTTTAAACGTTTTACAGTGATTATAGCAGGAAAAAACCAGCTGCTCCTATTGTGAGGGGAACAAAGAAAATTAAAGCTAAATGGCAGTACTTTTTCCCCCTTCGTTTTGCAGTTATGCTATATTGACTCCCAAACTGATGGCGGAATCCCTTCTTACTGTTTTGCTTTAATGGTGATGTTTTTTCTACAACAAAGAAAACCCCCTCTTCTTCCTTGCTTACTTGGAAGTTGGGTAAGCATGAATTTGTGACATATATTTGCATGTATATACGTAGTTTGCTCTTGCAGAGTGCTCTGTTCAAACATATTAAGCTGGAATTCTGGTTTGTCTGTTTGTCCATCTTTTTTTTTTTTTTTTTTGTAAATAATTTTTCCACTACCAATTTGGAATGCCTTTTTATATAGATTGAAGGCTTTGACCCAAAAAGAATGGATGACTTTCAGCTGAAGGGCATAGTAGAAGAGAAGTTTGTGAAGTGGGAATATAATTCAAGTAGTGCAACTGAGAAAAACTCAATTGCTGAGGAAAACAAAGCTAAGGCAGACCAACCAAAAGATGATACCAAGAAGACAGAAACAGACAACCAAAGTAATGCCATGAAGGAAAAACATGGCAAAGTAAGCTTTTTTTTGTTTTTGTTTTTGGCTTTTCTATCTGTAGGATATGTGATGCCTTCGATTGAAGCTATTTTAATAGTAGATTGACTGGACTGACTTTGCGTAAGCCTCTTGGCCTCATTTTCCTCATCTGTAAAGTGAGGGGTTGATCTGGTTTAGTTTTTCAGTACTGAGATTCTCTAATGAATTTATACCTCATTTTGGAAGACGTGTATTGTTTGAATCATGTCATGGTAATTCTTTGTATCTTTTTCATTTAGACAAGGAAAATTTCCTTCAGGAGTTGGGCGGTGACCAAAACTGTAGCATGTGGGAATAATATTGCCAGATTGGTGGAAAAATAAAGGCCCTTTCCTCCCCTAGGGGATGGCTTGCTTATTTAATCATTCAACATTCATTTATTAAGGACCTGCTATGTGCCAGACATTATCTTGAGGGCCTGAGAACGAAAGATGAATAGCCATTGTGTCTTCCAGAAGTATGTAGTCTTCTGAAATAGACATATTAGTACAGAAATGTAAGCATTACTGAAATGATTACTCTAGCTATATTGAATTTTATGTAGTTCCCTGAACATTTATTCTTAGTCCCTTCAACACTCCTACTTTCCTAGACTTCTTTCTACTCTCTTCTCAAACCACCAATACTTAGCTAATGCTTTTGCTTATTTACTGAGAAAACTGAAGCAGTCAAAAGAACTTCTACATACTCCCACTATCGCCTGCTACTATCTACATTCACATAATCTGCTTTGATGCCTCCTTTCATAAAGGAACTTCCCTAGTTGCTATCTAAAGTCATTTTCTACACTTGTGTATTTAATCCCATCCCTTCTTGTTTATACTAGAACTTTGCTCTAGAATTCTTCTCTTTCCTGCCTAAGTTAGCAATTTTTCATTCTTTATTGAATCAAACACCCTTTTATTTCTCCCATTTAATTTAATTTATTATTATTATTATTATTATTTTTTGATAGAACACGTGGTGAGAGGAAGAGAGAGAATCTTAAGCAGACTCTACGCCCAGCGTTGGGGGGCTGGGTGAGGGGCAAGGTTTTGATCCACAAACCCTGAGATCACGAAAGAACTGAAATCAAGACTCAGTTGTTTGACTGAGCCACACAGGTGCCTCCTTTCCCCCCCCCCCACCATTTTAAAGCAAAATAAGGACATCATTTTCCTTCCCAGTTACTCCTTTGCACCCGTTTGCAGTACAGCTTCTTGAAAGAATTGTCCACATTCACTATTTCTGATTTCTGTTTCCTATTAACTCACTGCATTCAGTCTTCCACCCTTGTCAGTCTACCAAAACTTGTATCATCAAATGTCGTTATCCTCCACATTGCTAAATCCAGTTGTCACTTCTCAGTTTTTATCTCTTTGGACTTATCAGCCATATTTACCAGTTGATTATTTTCTTCTCTGAAAAAAAGAATTTTTTTTTAATTTTTTTTTTTTTTTTTTTTTTTTAGCTTTTATTCAATTTTGAAAGATGAAGAGAGAGCATGAGCAGACATGAGGCAGAGGGAGAGGGAGATATAGGATCCGAAGCAGGCTTCAGACTCTGAGCTGTCAGCACAGAGCCTGATGTGGGGCTCAAACCCACAGACCGAGAGATCATGATCTGAGCTGAAGTCGGACGCTTAACCGACTGAGCCACCCAGGTGCCCCTTCTGAAAAATGTCTTAACTTTCAGGATAGCACACCCATGGCAGATTATTCCTTCTCAGTCTCCTTTGCTGTCTTTGTCTTCTCCCTTTCTCTCTAGTCTCCTAATGGTGGCATGCTCCAGGGCTCAGTCCTCGATCCTCCCTTCTCACTGCTTTTCTTCTCTATCTGCACTCTGTTGGTGATCTCATTCGGTTGCATGCATTTTACATACCATCTGTATGATACTCCCAAATTTAAATCTTTGGCCAAACCTCTCTCCTGAACTCTATAGTTGTATCTCCAACTGCCTATATACTTTCTCTACTTAGATGTCTAAGAGATGTCTTTTTTTTTATTTTACTTTTTTAATGTTTATTTATTTATTTATTTATTTAGAGCCTGCATGCACGTGCATGAGCAGGAGAGGGGCAGAGAGAGTGGGAGAGAGGGAATCACAAGCAGGCACCACACTGCCAGCAGAGCCCCGACATGGGGCTGGATCTCATGAAGTGTGAGATAATGACCTGAGCCAAAATCAAGAGTCGGACCCTTAACCAACTGAGCTACCCAGGCTCCCTCCTAACAGATGTCTTAAACTTAACATGCCTGAAACTGGACTCCTGGTCTTCCTCTTGCTCCACATACAGTTTTTGCATCTCAGTTGATGGCACTGCATCCTTTCAGTTAGTCAGAAGCCTTGGAATCATCCTTTACTTCTCTCTTTTATACCCCATATCAAGTCTGTCAGGAAATCCTGTCATTTCTGCTTCAAAATATTTTCAGAATTTGACCACTTCTTGCAGAATGGTTCTTCAAAAACTTGTCTTATCATGTCCTTCCTCCTCTCCACACTCAGAACCCTTCAGTCACTCCTCATTTAATTTAGAATAAAAGCTGACTCTTTAACTTAGTAGCTCTTTGTTTTCCTCTTCTCTTCTTCCCTTCTTTACCACATTAGCTTTCATGGTTTTCTTTTTAAAGCTAGTCACTTCTATTTAGTGTGTTTGGTCTATCTGTTCCCTATTCCTAGAACACTTTTCCCTCTTCTTCAAATGATACCTTCTGAGCAGACTATCCTGACCACTCTGTTTCACTGAAACCATGTCCTGCTCCATACTCCCATCCCCTTTTTACTAAACCTACTCGACTTTTTCTTACTTCCACAGCACTTTTCCTTTTTGTAACTTGCTATGTAATGTACTTACTAAGTTGTTTGTTATCTTCTTTCCTTAGAAAGTAAGATATACTAAGGCAAGGTTGTTGTTTTTTTTTTCACGGATATATCCCAAGTGCCTGGCACATAGTAGGTACTCAATGAATAGTTGTAGAATTGAATGAGTGAATGACTGTTTCATGTCTTTATGCTCCTTAGTGGTCACTTTTAGCCAGTCTTCATCTAGCTAATTCCTTTAGAATTCAGGTATTACCTCTTTTGTTAACTACCGGGCCGCCCCCCCCCGATTTAGAGGCCCATTTTAGCACAGAGTCTTTACTGTAATTGTTAAATTGTCTCTTCCTCTTCTAATAATCTGTGAAGGGAGAACCTCACCTTATTTGAGTGGCAGTATGGTAGGTATAGTGATTAGCAACAAATTCAGTAGCCAGGTGGTCCTGAGTCAAATCATACCTTGCCCTGTAGTATCTACTTCATAGAATTGTTAGAATTAATAGCTACTGTATTTGCGGCATTTAAAGGAGTGAATGATGCATGGTGACCATTATGTTTAAGCGTGAGCTCTCATTATTTTTTTATATCCTCAGCACAGGACATAGTAGGTTCTAAATAAAGTTTGCTGAATGAAGGAATTAGCTTTTGAAAGCCCAGGGCATTTACTTAGATATTTAAAGTAATTGCTGCAATAAGGACCTATAATAGTTTAGTATTTGCTGTGCAGTGATTTGCAACCTTGGATGCACATGAATCACTTAGGAGGCTTTAAAAATCCCAGGGCCTAGTATGTAGCCAAGGTCAGTTAAATCAGAATCTTGGGAAGGGTATGGGAGGTAGGAATGGTATGAAGCTCAGGTATTTAGTATACTGTAATGGTCCCAATGTGATTCTGATTTGCAGCCAAGGTTGAGAATCACTGGTTTATTGGGAAGAACATAAAATTCTAGGAGTCGGTAAACTAGGACTATGTTCCCAGCTGGGCCACAAACTGCTTTTTGGCAAGTTACTTCTTTATGCTTCAGTTTTTGTAAAGTTAATCTCTTAGGTCTTTTCACACTGAAAATTCAATCATTCTATAGTTTTGTGAAGCTTAAATGAAAAGTATTTTTTCTTTTCTAGTCTCCTTTAACATTGGGAACACCAAATCAGGTATCCCTGGGACAATTATGGTTAGAGCTGCTAAAATTTTACACACTGGATTTTGCTTTGGAAGAATATGTCATATGTGTACGGATACAAGATATTTTAACAAGAGAAAACAAAAACTGGCCTAAAAGGCGAATAGCCATTGAAGGTGAGATGATACGTTATATTTCATTTAGAGAATATGTTTTTGTGTGCTATTCATCATCTGTTTCTAATACAGTGCTATAAATTACATCCCTTGGCTTTATAGCACTATATATACCACTAGGTTGTCATTATATATTTTAGATAAATTCTTTATCAAGTCCATGATAGTTTTATAGGATTAATACTTACTTTAAGGTTTCCAATCTATAAATACTATATTGGTTAGGATTATTAGCTTATTACATACCTTTATGTTTATTTTTTAGTTATGAAGAACTTCAAAAATATAGACACATAGAATAGTTATTCAGAACAATCTTATTCCTATAAGGTTCTGTCATAAAATTATGTTAAAGTATAACTTTAAAATACAGGTTTTCATTGTTCTCCAACCTCATCTCTATGGAATGTGTAAGTCATTGGAGTATATATACAGAATACAGCCAGTGGTGTTGTAATAGCATTGTAGGGTGACAGATGGTAGCTGTACTTCTGGTGAGCATAGCATTAACTACAGAATTGTTGAATCACTATGTTGTACACCTAAACTATAATGTAACATTGTATGTCAGTTATACTTCAAAACATAAAAAAAAGCACCTCAGCTTAAATATGGTTAAAGATTAAAAAAAAAAAGATTGATTTGAAGAAAAAAAAATTGATGTTGATGAAAAGTTTCATATTAAATCCCAAGAATATTAAGATCTTTAGGGATGCAAATTGATAGAGTGGTTTTTAGAAAATTTAAATCATGCAGCATTTCACTCACTTTTATAGATAGGAAATTGAATTTCTGTCCATCATTTTAGTTTGCTTAGACTACATATTTTTCTGTTCCCTCAGTCCTCTTTTGGCCTTCTCTGACCCATAAATATTTTTTTAAAAATTTTAATGTTTTTTCTATTTTTGAGAGAGAGAGAGGCAGATCATGTGTGGGGAAGGGGCAGAAAGAGATAGACACAGAATCCGAAGCAGGCTCCAGGCTCTGAGCTGTCAGCACAGAGCCCGACATGGGACTCAAACACATGAACTGCAGGATCATGACCTGAGCCAAAGTTGGAAGCTTAACCGATTGAGCCACCCAGGCACCCCAACCCACAAATAATTTTTTAAAAATGTATTAAAAAATGTTAATGATATTAATATATTATTTGTTTTTGAGAAAGAGAGAGCAAGCACGGGAGGGGAAGAGTGAGGAGAGAGAGAATCCCAAGCAGGCTCTACTCTGTAAGTGCAGAGCCTGACGCGGGGCTTGATCTCATGAACCAGGAGATCATGACCTGAGCCAAAATCAAGAGTTAGATGCTTTAACCAACTGAGCCACCCAGGCACCCCTAAACCCACAAATATTCTTATACACTCAGTTACTCACATCTTGTACACTTACATACAGTAAATCAATGAGCTCTGAAGCCTATAACTATCATAATTTGTTTTCTCTTGTCTTTTTCTTCTTCTACAAGGAGCAAAAAGGCCAGGAAAGGCCTTTGAGTGTAGAGAACAGCCTGTGGATTTAGATAACAGCAAAAAGTCACAGATGCCCAAACCTGTTAACAATCTGAAGCCTGTCCTGTTAATCCTTTTACTTAATGATCTTCAGTAGTGGAGAAAATGTGCATTGTCTTTTGGCTGTCATCCATTTATTCTTTTTTCCTGGGGCATATTTGTATTTTAGGTTTATAAAATCCAAAAACCCATAAACATTTAGAAGTCTTTTATATTTTCTTAATAATGAAAATGTGGTTGATATATACTCATTTTAGACTGGATTAAAATTTAACTTTTGGGGGGCGCCTGGGTACCTCAGTCAGTTGAGTGGCTGACTTTGGCTCAGGTCGTGATCTCACGGTCCGTGGGTTCGAGCCCTGCGTCGGGCTCTCTGCTGACAGCTCAGAGCCTGGAGCCTGTTTCAGATTCTGTGTCTCCCTCTCTCTGACCCTCCCCCATTCATGCTCTGTCTCTCTCTGTCTCAAAAATAAAAATAAACGTTAAAAAAAAAAAAAAAAGAAGACCTTAGAGTTTAAAAAAAAAAATTTAACTTTTGGTTTAATTTTTACTTTCTTTGGTCTCTTTCTTCCTACTTTTCAATTTTTCCTTTCTTTAATTTTTTGAACTCATTGAAGTTAAATGTTAAAATCAGTATTTCCTTTTTGTTTTTTTTAGAGAGAGTGAGCGGCCATGAGCAGGGGAAGGGCAGAGCAAGAGAGAGAATCTTAAGCAGGCTCCATGCCCAGCCTCTACGGGGCTCAATCTCACAGAGATCAGGACCTGAGCTGAAATCTAAGAGTTGGAGGCTTAACTGACTGAGCCACTCAGGCTCCCCAAAATCCGTACTTTTTAACTTGAAGCTTTAAGAATTTTAGGTTATCATTTATTTAAGTTGCAAGGAGCATGTCGCTAAAGAATGTTATGATAAGAGATGAAAATTATTAATGGGTCCTAGAGGTTTGGAAAATTTTATTCAGTAACAGTTCAGGAAGGTATAAATGGCATGGCTTTTTCTGCCAGTTTTATCATTGTAATTTTGTAATTACCATGGTGTCTGCAACAGTATGCAATTCTTAATCTCGGGGTTGTGAGTTTGAGCCCCATGTTGGTTGTAGTGAGTACTTAAATAAATTAAAAAAAAATTGTGTAATTATTGAGTTGGTCTCTTTGGCCATTCTCTCATTAATTAACCTTATTCTTTTCTCTCTTTTCCTTTTAACTTTTTATTTTATGACAGAAGAAAGGAAAAGATGTTGCTCTTATATTTTTCCTACTCAGTTTGTAGGAACTCTCACTTTAACCTTAGGTTAAAAAAGCTTTGGGAGAATGTACTGTGCTGAGAATATAGCAGTTTCAATCTGTTTGGGTAAGCTTGGAATTGTAGTTCGTTGATGGACACTTAGTTACTGACCATTTCTTTTTTTACTAGATCCATTTTCAGTTAAGAGGAATGTTGCACGGAGCTTAAACAGCCAGCTTGTTTATGAATACGTTGTGGAGAGATTCAGGGCAGCTTATCGGTATTTTGCCTGTCCTCAGAGGAAGGGTGGAAATAAATCTCCAGTGGATTCCATGAAAAAAGAGAAGGGAAAAATAAGCAATAAGAAACCAGTGAAGTCTGACAATATGGCATCCAGTTGTCGCATTCTACATGGAGAAAGCACAGAAAAAATAAATGCAGAAAGAGGTCAACCTGATAAATATGATGAAATGGAATATACATCACAGAGATGTATTACTGAAGATGACAGTTTGTTGGTAAATGAGCTAGATTTGGCTGAACTTGGACAGGAATCTTCATCTCTTTCTACCAGTGGAGGCAGTGAATTAGAGCCAAAATCAATTAAGAAACAAGATGATTTAGCACCGTCAGAAACCTGTCTAAAAAAGGAACTCAGCCAGTGTAATTGCATTGGTTATAAATCCCCTGACCCAGATGAATCTTCTGGTACAGACTGCCAGTCAAATATAGAAACAGAGAGTTCACATCAGATTGTGAGCACTGACACATCTGCTACCTCCTGCAACTGCAAAGCTACAGAAGATGCTTCTGACTTTAATGATGATGATAACCACCCCACCCAGGAATTATATTATGTGTTTGATAAGTTTATTTTAACCTCTGGCAAGGTAGGATACCGTTTGTAAACAGTCTGTAAGATTTTGTGGTTGTTGTAGGACTGTATTTATAGTTTTTAGATTCAGAAATGTAAAAATAGCTTCTATGATGGTAGACTGTTACTTTCTATTGATATTTTGGTGTATATTTTCACTTTTCCTTTATTTTTTCCTGTAGTTGTCTTTAAAAATTTTTTTTCCCAACGTTTTTTTATTTATTTTTGGGACAGAGAGAGACAGAGCATGAACGGGGGAGGGGCAGAGAGAGAGGGAGACACAGAATCGGAAACAGGCTCCAGGCTCCGAGCCATCAGCCCAGAGCCTGACGCGGGGCTCGAACTCCCGGACCGCGAGATCGTGACCTGGCTGAAGTCGGATGCTTAACCGACTGCGCCACCCAGGCGCCCCTGTAGTTGTCTTTAAAGAATGTATGTAAAACCTCAAAACGTTTCAGTACTCTATTACTAGTTGGTTTGCTTAACTTTCTCATATATGAAAGGATTCATCAGGCATTTTATAAAGATCAGTTTGGCAAAAGCAGCAAATATTTTAAATTTTGTTAATTTTCTATGTATATGTTTACTTATCTTCCACAAAGAAGATTATAAGGTTTGTAAATTCTAATAGTATTACACTTTAAAGGTGGTTTTTTACCCCTATGGGGTGGGTGAATGTAAATTTTTAAAAATTTTTTTTAAATTTTTATTTATTTTGAGAAAGATACAGAGAGCAAGCGGGGGAGGGGCAGATAAAGATGGAGACAATTTCAAGCAGACTCCACGATGTCAGCACAGGGCCTGAATTCACGTGGCCTGAATTCACGAACCATGAGATCGTGACCTAAGCCGAGACCCAGAGTCAGATGCATAACCAACTGAGCCACATAGAATATAAATTTAATGAAGATAGTTGAGCAGAAACTAAGATCAGGAACCAAAAGCGTGAAGAATTCAGATTCTGTCTCTGCCTTTGAGCTTTCCTTTGGATATTGGCATATCCTTTATAAACTAATGGAGTCTTAACTTTTCTACTGTTCAAGTGGGATAGTCTGAACTTCAACTTGATAAATTATAGAAAATAAAATATCCAATAACAGAAAATAAGCAGTGACTACTTTGTTAATAAAAGAAAGGTTTAGCTAAGTCACATTGCTTCAATTGCAGGGTACATAATTGAAATATCAGCACCCAAGATGAAAAAATGATTATATAGGTCATGTGTAAACCAAGAAGAATGTTTTTGAAAAAATCTAGAAAGTTACCCAGTTTTATTGTTTTAGAAATAATTATTTATTGACAAGCTTAAAATTTTTTAACCTAATTACTAAGCTGTGCTTCTTTATTCTTTGTAAGAATACATATATTGCAGTTTTTTTTTTAGGTTGTGGTGTTTAGGACATATGGACTGTAGAAAGGATAGATTAAATGGCAGGTTTTTAGAAAACCCTCTGAATTATATAACTGCAGTGTATGCTTTTTTTTTTTTGTAAATTTTTAAACCGTTTTTTTTTTTTTTTTTTTTGAGAGAGAGGGAGAGAGAGAGAGACCGACCGACAGAGAGAAAGACCGAACATGAATGAGGGAGGGGCAGAGACAGAGGATGACATAAAATCAGAAGCAGGCTCTAGACTCTGAGCTGTCAGCACAGAGCCCAACGCGGGGTTTGAACTCGTGAACCTTGAGATAATGACCTAAGCTGAAATCAGATGCTTAACTGACTGAGCCACCCAGGCGCCCCATATACTTCTTATACCCCTTGGAAACTTATCTTTTTTCTTTAATGTTTATTTATTTTAACATTTTATTTCATTTTTGAGAAAGACAATGTGAGCAGGGGAGGGGCAGAGAGAGAGGGCGACACATAATTGGAAACAGGATCTATCTAGGCTCTGAGCTGTCAGCACAGAGTCCTATGCGGGGCTTGAACTCACGAGCAGTGAGATCATTACCTGAGCCAAAGTCATATGCTTAACCGACTGAGCCACCCAGTTATTTTAAGATAACTATTTATCCAATTAAATTTTTTTCTAGATATATGTAACATTTTTCTAGTATTTTCTGATAAATCTTTTAAAAAGAAGTTTTGAAAGCTAAGAAAAATTCCCATGGTACTGTTAATTAGCCTATAGCGCAGCATTGCCACAAGTAGAGGTTTTTGTATGTAATTTGCATCAGAGGTCATGGCTAGGTAAATATCTAAGCTAATCCTGGAGGAGGAAGCTCTTTGAAATCTAGGCATATTACAATAAAGAAAGGAGTGGTGCTCTTCCTTCACTATGTGTTTTGTTCAAGTAGTTGGGATACATTTTTACTGTTTTAACTACCTGTCTGATAGTCCATTGGAATACATCTTATTTAATTTAATTTAATTTTTTTATTATTTAAACAAATTTTTAAGTTTATTTTGAGAGAGATTGAGACAGTGAGTGGGGGAGGGGCAGAGAGAGAGGAAGAGAGAGAATCCCAAGCAGGCTTCCACACTAGCACAGATCCCAATGTGGGGCTTGAGCTCCCAAAATTGTGACATCATGAACTGAGCCGAAACCAAGAGTTGGATGCCTAACTGACTGAGCCATTCAGGTGTCCCACCATTGGAATACATTTTAAATGGTGGTATAGGGTTTGCAGTTAACTTTGTGGCTATTGCATAAGAGTTATTCCTTGTATGAAGCAAAGTTATTTTTAGAGGTCAGCCCTACAGTTTGGTTTCTTGAGTACCATGCTAATGTAATAAATTGAACCAACTAGCCAAGTGGAGGGTTTTACAATTGACTATGAAGATAGAAAGTGTTTGGAGTGAAATGAAAACTGCCACTTCAAATTTATTTCTTCCTTTCTTCCTTTCCTTCCATTCTTTCCCTTCTTCTTTTCTTATTTCTTCTTTTCCTTTCTTTTCTTTTCTTTTCTTTTCTTTTCTTTTCTTTTCTTTTCTTTTCTTTTCTTTTTTCTTTTCTCTTCTCTTCTCTTCTCTTCTCTTCTCTTCTCTTCTCTTTTCTTTTCTTTCTTTTCTTTTCTTCCTTCCTTTTTTTGAAATTTCTTTATAATCAGGGCGTCTGGGTGGCTCAGACAGTTAAGTGTCTGACTTCAGCTCAGGTCATGATCTCGCAGTCCGTGAATTTGAGCCCCGCGTCAGGCTCTGTGCTGACACCTCAGAGCCTGGAGCCTGCTTTGATTCTGTGTCTCCCTCTCTCTGCCCCTCCCTCACTTGCTGTCTGTCTCTCCATCTCTCTCTCTCAAAATTAAATAAACATAAAAAAAAACCATGAAATTTCTTTATAGTCTACGTTGTTAAAGATTTTAGTAGGTTAAAATTAATGCACAGATTTCATTTTGGGAGCTGACCAAAATGTTTGCATTAACCCATATGTATTACCTCTTCAGGTATTTTCTGTATCTTATGTATTTGGGTAAATCTCATATTGATAATACCATTTTAGTGGGGAAGAAACATTAAAGTGTTTGCTCAAAATGTGTTTTTTACATTTAATACTGCATTTTATTTATATGCTTTTTTTTTTTTTTAACCTCCTGAAAGCACAGGTTATCAGAATTGAGTTACATAGAAGAGTCTTTTTGGGCCTGCTTTCTAAGTGGTGATGAAGTCCCTCAATAGTTTATTAGATAATTTTTTTTTTTTTTTACGTTTGTATAGCCACCAACGATAGTATGCAGCATCTGCAAAAAAGATGGCCATTCAAAAAATGATTGTCCAGAGGATTTCAGGAAAATTGATCTAAAACCTCTACCACCAATGACAAATCGATTTCGGGAAATACTTGATTTAGTATGTAAAAGATGTTTTGGTAAGTCTTTTATTATTAGAGCTATTGTGAATAGATTCTTTGTTAGATTTTGAATATTTATTTTCTTATTTAAAAACAGTTTGCTTACGTTTTGTTTTGGTACAGGTTATTTAATAGTTTAGACACCCAACAACAGATATTTATTAAATGCCTATTAAATGCACAGCACTGTGGTAAATGCCAAAGGGAATACAGAGTCCATTATGTGTTGCTTTTATTTATTTATTTTAATTTTTATTTAATTTATTTTTTTAACTTACATCCAAGTTAGCATACACTGCAACAATGATTTCAGGAGTAGATTCCTTAATGCTCCTTACCCATTTAGCCCATCCCCCCTCCCACAACCCCTCCAGCAACCCTCTCTTCTCCATATTTAAGAGTCTCTTAAAGGGGCGCCTGGGTGGCACAGTCGGTTAAGCGTCCGACTTCAGCCAGGTCACGATCTCGCGCTCCGTGAGTTCGAGCCCCGCGTCAGGCTCTGGGCTGATGGCTCAGAGCCTGGAGCCTGTTTCTGATTCTGTGTCTCCCTCTCTCTCTGCCCCTCCCCTGTTCATGCTCTGTCTCTCTCTGTCCCAAAAATAAATAAATGAAAAAAGAGTCTCTTATGTTTTGTCCCCCTCCCTGTTTTTATATTATTTTTGCTTCCCTTCCCTTATATTCATCTGTTCTGTGTCTTAAAGTCCTCATGAGTGAAGTCATATGATACTTGTCTTTCTCTGACTAATATTGCTTAGCATAATATGCTCTAGTTCCATCCACATAGTTGCAAATGGCAAGATTTCATTCTTTTTGATTGCTGAGTAATATTCTATCGTATATATATACCACATCTTCTTTATCCATTCACCCATCGATGGACATTTGCACTCTTTCCATACTTTGGCTATTATTGATAGTGCTGCTATAAACGTTGGGGTGCATGTGCCCCTTTGAAACAGCATACCTGTATCCCTTGGATAAATACCTAGTAGTGCAATTGCTGGGTTATAGGGTAGTTCCATTTTTGATTTTTTGAGGAACCTCCATAATTGTTTCCACAGTGGCTGCACCAGTTTGCATTCCCACCAGCAGTGCAAAAGAGATCCTCTTTCTCTGCATCCTCGTCAACATCTGTTGTTGCCTGAGTTGTTAATGTTAGCCATTCTGACAGGTGTGAGGTGGTATCTTGTGGTTTTGATTTGTATTTCCCTGATGATGAGTGATGTTGAGCATTTTTTAATGTGTCAGGAGGCCATCTGGATGTCTCCTTTGGAGAAGTGTCATTCATGTCGTTTCTTCACTGGATTATTTGTTTTTGGGTGTTGAGTTTGATAAGTTGTTTATAGATTTTGGATACTAACCCTTTATCTGATATGTCGTTTGCAAATATCTCCTCCCATTCCATCGGTTGCCTTTTAGTTTTGCTGATTGTTTCCTTCGCTGTGCAGAAGCTTTTTATTTTGATGAGGTCCAAGTAGTTCATTTGTGCTTTTGTTTCCCTTGCCTCTGGAGAAGTGTTGAATAAGAAGTTGCTGCGGCCAAGGTCAAAGATGTTTTTGCCTGCTTTCTTCTCGAGGATTTTGGTGGTTTCCTGTCTTATATTTAAGTCTTTCATCCATTTTGAATTAATTTTGTGTATGATATAAGAAAGCAGTCCAGATTTATTTTTCTGCATGTCGCTGTCCAGTTTTTCCAGCACTAATTACTGAAGAGACTGTCTTTATTCCATTGGATATTCTTTCCTGCTTTGTCAAAGATTAGTTGGCCATACATTTGTGGATCCATTTCTGGGTTCTCTGCTCCATTGATCTCAGTGTCTTTTCTTGTGCCAGTACCATACTGTCTTGATGATTATAGCTTTGTAATATAGTTTGAACTCTGGGATTGTGATACCTCCAGCTTTGGTTTTATTTTTCAAGATTACTTTGGCTATTCGGGGTCTTTCTATAGTTTTCAGTGTATAGATTTTTCACCTCTTTGGTTAGATTTATTCTTAGGTATTTTATGGTTTTTGTTGCAATTGTAAATGGGATCAATTCCTTGATTTCTCTTTCTTTTGCTTCATTGTTCATCTATAGGAATGCAACCGATTTCTGTGCATTGATTTTATATCCTGTGACTTTGCTGAATTCATGGATCCGTTCTAGCAGTTTTTTGGAGTCTTTTGGGTTTTCCATATGGAGTATCATGTCATCTGCGAAGAGTGAAAGTTTGACGTCCTCCTGGCCAATTTGGATGCCTTTTATTTCTTTGTGTTCTCTGATTGCTGAGGCTAAGCCTCCAATACTATGTTGAATAATGGTGGTAAGAGTGGACATCCCTGTCTTCTCCCTGACCTTAGGGGGGAAAGCTCTCAGTTTTTCCCCATTGAGGATGATATTAGCGTTGGGTCTTTCATATATGGCTTTTATGATCTCGAGGTATGATCCTTCTATCCCTATTTTCTTGAGGGTTTTTATCAAGAAAGGATGCTGTATTTTGTCAAATGCTTTCTGTGCATCTGTTGAGAGGATCATGTGGTTCTTGTTCTTTCTTTTTATTGATGTGATGAATCACATTGATTGTTTTGCAGATATTGATCCAGCCCTGCATCCCAGGTATAAATCCCACATGGTCGTGGTGAATAATTTTTTTAACGTATTGTTGGATCCAGTTGGCTGCTATCTTGGTGAGGATTTTTGCATCCATGTTCATTAGGGAAATTGGTCTATAGTTCTTTTTAGTGGGGTCTTTGTCTGGTTTTGGAATTGAGGTAGTGCTGACTTCATAGAAAGAGTTTAGAAGTTTTCATTCCATTTCTATTTTTTGGAACAGCTTTGAGGATAGGTGTTAAGTCTTCCTTAAATGTTTGATAGAATTTCCCTGGAAAGCCATTTGGCCCTGGACTCTTGTTTTTTGGGAGAGTTTCGATTACTAATTCGTTTTCTTTACTGGTTATGGGTCTGTTCAAATTTTCTATTTCTCCCTGTTTCAGTTTTGGTAGTTTATATATTTCTAGGAATTTGTCCATTTCTTCCAGATTGCGCATTTTATTGACATATAATTGCTTATAACATTCTCTTATTATTGTTTGTATTTCTGCTGTGTTGGTTGTGATCTCTCTTCTTTCTTTCTTGATTTTATTTATTTGGGTCCTTTCCTTTTTCTTTTTGATCAAACTGGCTAGGGGTTTGTCAATTTTGTTAATTCTTTCAAAGAACCAGCTTCTGGTATCATTGCTCTGTTCTACTGCTTTTTTGGTTTTGATAGCATTGATTTCTGCTCTAATCTTTATTATTTCCTGTCTTCTGCTGGTTTGGGGTTTTATATGCTGTTGTTTTTTCAGCTCTTTAAGGCATGAGGTTAGGTTGTGTATTTGAGATCTTTCTTCCTTCTTTAGGAAGGCCTGGATGGCTATATACTTCCCTCTTATGGCCACCTTTGCTGCATCCCAGAGGTTTTGGGCTGTGGTGTTATCATTTTCATTGGCTTCCATGTAGTTTTAAATTTCCTCTTTAACTTCTTGGTTAGCCCATTCATTCTTTAGTAGGCTGTTCTTTAGTTTCCAAGTATTTGCTACCTCCCCAATTTTTTCTTGTGGTTGATTTCGAGTTCCATAGCATTGTGGTCTGAAAATCACGGTATGATCTTGATCTTTTTGTACTTGTTGAGGGCTGATTTGTGTGCCAGTATGTGATGTATTCTAGAGAATGTTCCATGTGCACTGGAGAAGAATATATATTCTGCTGCTTTAGGCTGAAATGTTTTGAATGTATCTGTTAAGTCCATCTGGTCCAGTGTATCATTCAAAGCCATTGTTTCCTTGTTGATTTTCTGTTGAGATGATCTGTCCATTGCTGTAAGTAGCGTGTTGAAGTCCTCTAATATTATGGTATTATTATCAATGAGTTTCTTTATGTTTATGATTAATTGATTTATATATTTGGGTGCTTCACATTTGGAGCATAACTATTTACAATTGTTAGGTCTTCTTGGTGGATAGGCCTCTTAATTATGATATAATACCCTTCTTCATCTCTTGATACAGTCTTTATTTTAAAGTCCAGATTGTCTGATGTAAGTATGGCTACTCCGGCTTTCTTTTGTTGACCACTAACACGTTAGATGGTTCTCCATCCCCTTACTTTGAATCTGAAGGTGTCTTTAGGTCTAAAGTGGGTCTCTTGTAAACAGCATATAGATGGATCTTGTTTTCTTATCCATTCTGTTACCCTGTGTCTTTGTTTGGAGCATTTAGTCCATTGAGATTTAGAGTGAGTACTGAAAGATATGAGTTTATTGGCATTATGTTTCTTGTAATTATGTGTTGCTTTTAAAGAGCTTAGACTCTGGATCTGTGCTGTCTAATATGGTAGCCACTATTTAAATTGAAATTAATTAAAATTAAAAATTAAATTCCTCATTTTTAGTAGCCACAACCCGAGTAGTGAGTAGTTACATGTGGCTGGTGGCTGCTGAATTGGACAGGTCAGATAGGCAACATTTCCATCACTGCATTGCTCTTGCACAGTTCTGCTCTAGATGGAAGTATGATATGTATAAAAATTGCCATAATTTGAAGCAGAATGTATTACATGCTGTAGTAGTAGGAAACAAAATGCAGGGCAAACAGTATTTTAACTGGGGTAGAACACAGGGATTGGAATTAATGATGTGGCATTTGAGTTGGACCTTGAACTCTTTTTCAGATCTAGATAATACACAAAAGTGTAGGGTGTATAATTTCTTTGGGAGAATAATTGCCTTAGGTTTGGTAGAGTATAAGAAAGATAATTGAGGGAGAAAAGGCTATAAAGATATTTTGGGAAATGCCTTACATAATTTTATTCAACAAACACTTATGGTGAACCTGGGATAAACCTTCACTCAACAAATATTTTTTTAAATTATTTGCTGTGCCCAGATAAGTTAAAATTTTTGATGTAATAACATTTAGTTCCCCATTGTAATATCTCCCACTTATTTCCTATCCCACCCTCTTGCCAGGCAACCACTTACCTGCTTTTAATTGATATCCA